TGATTTATTTTAATAATTAAAACGTGAAATTTAACCTTACAATAGTTGTCTTTATTTTCTTGAAATAATTTATTTTTTATGTGGGTGATAAACCCCGGATAATACATAAATAAATATGCAAATAATATTATATAAATATTCTCACATTGTTGGAAAAGACAAAAAGGAATTGGATAGATAGATATCACAGATTTTGAAACTATTATAAATTTTTACATTATTTGTTACGTTGTTTTTCTTACTTCGGTATTGATTTTGCCAGTTTAAAACAGTTTTTGTCTCAAACTATATAGAGTAGACGTGAAAATAAAGAAATGGTAAAAAAACACAAACCAGTTTGAAGAAATTGTGACGGAGAAGCCAAGAAACTAATGGAAGATAGAAGTGTACAGAACGATTCACAAATGTTGAAGAACATGACAAAAACAACGAACATGAATAAAAATAGAAAACGATCTAGAATGGGAAATAATTCAGACAAAAGATTGCGTATTTATTCCAATATGGTATATAAGAACCTATGCAACTAGTAAATTACCATAAGTAAGAAATGGTAAATACGCTTTGAAAATACAAGTAGTTAGTGATTATAATCTTTTGATTATATATTTTTCGGAACTGTTACCAATGTTATTTTAACTAGTCAGTTGTAATTTTGCCTGAATAATATATTCGGTTGAATAGGAGAAGATAGTGAACACTTTCAGCTCAAGAAGTAAACATTTTTAATAGATTCTGGAACCAGTATCGGAAAAGATTATTTGGACAACTCTCACGGTGAGATATTATACGATAATATTGTTAAATGTTTATGCTCCTACAAATAAAGGGGCCTATGTGAGCAGGAGGAATTATACAAAAATTATACGAAACGTATAACGTAAAGAGCAAGCATAGAAGAGATAGGTATAAAATAATAATCGGAAACTTCAATGCTAAAATAGGTGAACAATACACGACTTAACTAGTGATAAGGAATAGTAAACAAGATAAATAGAATATACTAATCTAAGTTTGGGAATAGAATAAGACAATAATAATTGATATGAGGTTTTTTTTTTATTTAGAATTTCCGCATCAACCATTAAAGGTTATTAGCGGGTTTTACAGATTTTACAGTTGTTATTACAAATACAAATTTACTAATTACAAATTGCGTATTAAATTACACATAATAAATTACAAATTACAAAGAGATACATATAATATAACTTAAATTTTGTGTAGTAAACGTATGTCCTTAAGGAATTTGATTGTATTAGATACATTACTGTTTAAAATATCTTTAAGTTTCTTTGCTTCTTCTGGTACGTTGTTGATGGCTCTTTCGTAGGAATAAAGAGGACATTCAATCAATACATATTGAACCGCTATTGGACATTCACAATAGGAACATTCAGGTGGTAGTTCTTTTGTTATGAGATGCTGGTGAGTTAACGCTGTGTGTCCAATTCTTAGTCGGTTTATAATCACTTGTTGCCTTCTGTTTTCTGGAAATTTTAGTTTAGTGCCAATCCTAGTTTTCACGTTTTTAAGGTTAGCCTTAGTAGAATTCCACATTTGTTGCCAATTTTTTACACAGTGCTGTTTAATATTGAGCTGGATATCACTGAATGGAATTGTAGTCATAATTTCAGTTTGCTCGTCAGTAGCAGCTTTCTTTGCTAATTCATCTACTTTTTCATTTCCTGCGATACCTGTATGTAATGGTACCCAGAGAAATGTAACGTTCACGTGTCTGTTTTGTAGGTGATAAAGTGCTAATTATATTTGTTGCAGGATAGCATGTACTAGATATATTTGCCTTAAGCTCTGAAGAACAGATAAAGATTTGAGGTTGAATGCTCGAATAAATGAACTTTGAAAATTAAGGCAAATATCGAGCACAAATTTAATCAAATCTTGCCCAAGTACTTTCGCTATCTACAGCCCCTACAAGGGCATTTGACCAAATGTCCCTGATGATGCTGTAGATAGCGAAAGTACTTGGGCAAGATTTGATTAAACTTGTGCTCGATATTTGCCTTAATTTTCAAAGTTTATAGACAATAATAGATGAATGATAAAGATACTTTATAGCGTGTAGCACATTAAAATAAAATTAAAAAATAAATCTTCCTAATGGAAAAGGAAAGTAAATATAGTAAGAAAAACGTATGTTCTCAGTTTACCGAAAGTCGCCAATTCTAATTTAATTTGTCTTTTAATGTCGCAGGTTTGGTGATGTATCTGTATTTTATGTTCGTGACCCAAATATTTATAAGATATTACACTTTCAAAGTCTGCATTTTTATGGATACGTTAGTGCAAGTAACTAAGTTTCTCATATACTGGGTCTTTTAGGGTTAATTTTTAAACCTACCTCAGTTGACACAGACTTTAGTGTAACAACGCTTAAGGTTCCTCAAGGTTGACGATACGCACGAAATCGTCAACGAAGCGGAAGACTTTAATTTTTAATCTCCGATGTTGCGTTGGATTCCATGTTTATCTACTTAAGTTTTTTAAACATATATTCCAGTAGCATTGTATATAGTTGGGGTGAGATGTTATTACTCCTCGTTTAATTGTAACTGGTCTCTTTCTCTCTCACTCTTCAGTCTTGACCTCCCAGAGGAAGTGTAGTGGTCATCATGATGTCGTGTATTGTCCGCCTTCAAAGATCTCTGTCTCTGGTCATTTCTTTTAACTCATGCTTAGATCTCTTGCATATTCCTGTAAATAGTAAATGGTAATACACTAGAGTAAACTTTTACTCTTGATGTTGGACTTTTATACAGAGTGGCCCAAAAGTCTGGAAACGGCTAATTATCTCGTAAAATGCTAATCATAATTGTACAAAATTTGAGGTTCACCTATTTTGGGATACGGAGATTCCATATTTGATATTTGCAATGTTGCCAGATTTGCAGTTTTTCTTATATTATTAGTAACTTTGGTTTTTCAAATACATCACCCTGTATATTTAGTCATTATTGTAATCTCCTATTCAATACGAGTTCAACCATATGTAACACTTATGATTTTATGTAATCTGGAAGGTAATAAATACATAAAACCGAAGTCTGGCAACGCCTAAATTGTTTCAATAAATTTTTTAATACTAACTATTTTCAAATACATTAAAACGTAACAATTGATAGTTTCGAACATTTTTTAACATAGTAGTTACGTTATCAACTGTTCAAAATGTGCTCAATTTGTGAGTTGACAGCACCCTAATCGATGGTAGAAGGCGTCTACCACATTTCTGCATGATTGTCTAGAAATAATTCGAGATTCATTGATAATTCGTTGCCTTAGCTCTGCAAGACTTGCTGGTTAAGTTTTGTAAACTGAATTTTTCAAGTATCCCTAATAAAAATAATCTTTAGGATTGAAATCGGGTGAACGTGGAGGCCATTCAATTCTACCTTGTCTACCAATTTATCGTCCAGGAAATATCTCATTTAAATATCGCCGAAAATTTACACCAACTATCTGACGTTAAATTTCTTTCGACAAAAAATGACCCAATTGAATAAGTAACTACTATATCTGACCATACATTTAACTTTTGTGGTCTTTGAGTATGGTTTTCACGCATTCAGTCTTCACTGTGAATTTACGTCACACCAGTACCTTAAATTGTGTCGATTTACACTTCCACACAGTGTAAAAGTTGCTTCATCGGAAAAACATATTCTGTTAACGAAATTTTAATAATTTTCAATTTTATCTATCAGTACCTCAGTAAACTCTAATCTACGACCAAAGTCATCTTCACTTAATTCTTGCAATAAGTTAATTTTGTATGATTTAAATTTATTTTTACGTAATAAACGTAAGACTGCAGAATGACCTACATCATGTACTTGTGCAACCCTGCCTGGGGATGTATGTGGATCTTCAACAAAACTTTGCTTATATCTGAAGTTTTGTTGTCATTGTTGATAACTCGTTTCGGTCAACCTGATCGGTATCTATCTTTTACTTCTCCAGATTCCTCAAATCGCCTTACAGTTTTTTTAAATATTTAAATTTATTAAAATCTACATATTTTGCACTGTTTTATGTATTTAAGATCTTTCAGACTGCATAAAATCAAGTGAACATATGGTTGAACTCGTATTGAATTGAATGCGTGAAAACCATACTCAAAGACCACACAAATTAAATGTATGGTCAGTTATAGCAGGTACTTATTTAATTGGACCATTTTTTATCGAAAGAAATTTAACGTCAGATAGTTGGTGTAAATGTTCGGCGTTATTTAGATGAGATATTTCCCGGACGATAAATTGGTAGACAAGGTAGAATTGAATGGCCTCCACGTTCACCTGATTTCAATCCTAAAGATTATTTTTATTAGAGATACTTGAAAAATTCAGTTTACAAAACTTAACCAGCAAGTCTTGCATAAGGCAATGAATTATCGATGAATCTCAAATAATTTCTTGACAATCATGGAGAAATGTGGTAGGCGCATTCTACCATCGATTAGAGTGCTGTCAACTCACAAATGGAGCACATTTTGAACACTTAATAACGTAACTATTATGTTAAAAAATATTCTAAACTATCAATTGTTACGTTTTAATGTATTTGAAAATAGTTAGTATTAAAAAATGTATTGAAACAATTTGGGCGTTGCCAGACTTCTGTTTTATGTATTTAAGACCTTCCAGACTACATGAAATCATAAGTGTTACATATGGTTGAACTCATATTTAATAGGAGATTCCAATAATGACTGAATATAAAGGGTGATGCATTTGAAAAACCAAAGTTACTAGTAATATAAGAGAAACTGAAAATCTGGCAACATTGCAAATACCAAATATGGAATCTCCGTATCCCAAAATAGGCGTATCTTAAATTTTGTATAATATTGTCTAGTAATTTGCGAGATAATTAGCCGTTTCCAGACTTTCGGGCCACTCTGTATATATTTTTAGCAATACTGCATATATGTTTACTACTGTGAAATCAACTAAATTTGGATTTTTGTATTATTTTAGGTATCGCGATAATGTTAAAACCCGTTCAAAAATATTTCATGATCGACAAGTAAAACCGATGAATGATGCAGTGTACTGGATAGAATACATCGTAAAGCATAATGGAGCAAATCATTTAAGAGTGAACTACCTAGACATGGCTTGGTATCAATATTATTTAGTGGATGTGTTTGTTGTTGTATTTAGTGTTATATTTATAGTATTATTTTTAGTCAAAAAAACTGTATGTTTTATTTTAGGAAAGTTATGTAAAAAAAGTAATAAAAAGGTGTCAAATAAAGTGAAAGAGCAGTAGATAGGTAGCAATTCTATTTACAAACTGTGTCATTTATTTTATTTTACAAAAACACTAAAAGGTAAGAATACACTGTAGAATAATCGTGATTATTCTACAGTGTAAACAGTACTACTACATACTACGTCAGAGAGACACCTTATCATATATCTGGATGAACATTCATACTCGAAGAAATAATAAGAGGTGCATGTTAACGTAGTCGAAAGGTCAAGAAAGAAAATAATCAGCCATTCAATCAAATTGAATAAGCAGCACAAAATGGTGGCCTTAAATTCAATCAGGCCAAAACAAAATGTATGCATCTAAGTAAAAACGCAGAAATAAGGCAGCTACAAATTCTAACAATAAGAAAATACAAAATTGAGGAGGTAAAAAGCTTTGTATACTTAGGATCTCTTGTTACATCTGATAACAAGGTTGTAGAGGAAGTGAAGAGACGAATATTCATTTTCAATAAATGTTGCTATGGCTCAATTAGGCAAATCAAATCAAATAACGTCTCAAAAAAAAAACAAAATGTCAAATATGCAAAACCGGTAACACCGGTACTCACATACAGAAAGGAAATAGAATTTGGGTAAGAAGATAAAACTTGAAACTATACAAAATATATCAGGACCCGGATAATATAACGTTCATTGAAACAGTATGACTTTGTTAGATGGAACATGTTATATAAATGGAAGAAGGCGAAATCGCATCAGAAAAAAGCTTGAAGGAAATCAGAATGGAGTAGAATCCTAGAACAGGCTAAGAACGAAAAAGTGTTGTCGAGACAGTAATGACAGCGATTTAAATCATAATTTTGGTAGTTTTACGATCTGATGTCAGCTGTATGGAAAGTAATTTTAATAAATTTATCCTATAAAGCAGATTTTCACAATAAATACCAAAAACGTAACTAACATTTACAATTATTACAAAGTAGTTAAATAAAAGCAATTTGCAAAATTTTCATACGTTTAGAAGTTTAAACAATCTTAAAATAGAGCACTTGCAGTTAAATAACGTTTGACTTTTAATCTGTTTGTTGGTGAATTTTATTACAGTATTGAGAAATAACTCCTTTATGTTACTATAAGTATGTGCTACAAAAGTAACAAACAGTATTTAAACGTGTTTTAGATAATCTTGTTTTCTTTAAATTGGTGTTTTAAAGGAAACCAAAAATTCTACATAAGGTAAGTTATATTTTAAATATCTTGTACGGACATGACTAACTATCCAAAATAAGAAAGACTTAGTTCAAAGCCTGCTCTAATTAATATTTTTCGATGCCATTTTATAAATATATCACAAAAATGGTTTATGTATTATAACCTTAGTGGATGAATTTATTTTTAAAGAATGTTCAGAAAAAAATAAATAATTTAAAATAAAAATCGACACATGATGTAAACACAATTTTATTTCATTATTAGTATTGTTTTCATTATATCAATATGCAAAATATAGTTTTATATTATATAAAATACTAACAACCTTCGCACCAACATTTCAAGCTAGGACTGCAATGGCCACTTGGTCTTCCTTCTTCTTGACATACTCTACGACAGCTGTCGTTGTCCCAAACGGCACATGGACCTCCAAATCTTCCTGACAAACAGTCACCAACAGTAGTTTTGGCGCTGAGAGCAACAATTAAGACGATGACGAAGACGTAAAATATTTTCATTTTGACGACTAAAATAAAATAAAAGAATATATTAAACGTGTAAAAGAAAACAAATTTTTTAATTACTTACGAAGTAGTTTCCTTTGCTTCTTTGATACTGAAGTAATTGAGGATTGTATAGCCGTTTTGGTTCGTTTATATACAAGTAATGTGAGATAATAAAGGCAATAAAAAATGTAAATCATTTGAATAAAAATTTGTTTTGTAATCTAATTGAACTTAAAATGCAGAAGATTGTAATTTATCTTTACTTGATTCTGTTCATTAACATCACTAATTACAAAAAAAAATATTAATTTATGATATGAGCTTATTACTTAGCCCTTAGTATATAAATCCTGAGAAGCAATACTGTATTCATCTCATTCAGCATCTTCGTAGATTATTCAAGAGTTAAATTTTATAAGGTAAGTATCCTTATTCTATTTGCTGAGTGCTTATTTTTGCAATTGGTTTTGAACTTTTATAATCTAAACCTTATTCGGCGTAAATATTTTAGTTGGATGGTTTTTATTTTAGTTTACATTTTCTTCTCCAATTCAACTTCTTTTAGTATCTGATTTTTTGCGCTTTTTTGAGCATGATATTCCGGTCCAAGGTTTTTCAACTTCTAGAAATCGAATATGTGTTAATATTTTCTCTTCGTTTCTTGATAATTTGCTTTATATTGAACACGTGGTCTGTAGTAGAGCTGCATTTTCGAAAACCGTCTTGTTCTTCTATGACATATTCTCTAATACTCTTTAATCTATATTAAAAATTATATGTATATTTAATAGACTGCATTCAGTAAACCGATATGATTACGGTCGCCTTTTTTTAGCCAATGGTATAACTTCTGCCGTTTACCATGTCTCAGGTGATTTTGGAATCGAACTTAAATTTATTTCTAAGATAAAGCTTTCTTAAATGTAAAAAGGGAAATCCATATGTTGGAAGTTACGTGCTGATTTGGTCTGTTCATGTTGTTTTTCTATTATGTTTTATCTTGCACTATTATATGGCCAATTTCGTCTAAAATTTGATGTTCTATATAGGTAAACTGCTAAGATTATACCACAGATTGTCACAGTGTTGCATTCATTATTGTTAGTTAATAACATTTAAGTGGGCGGTATACTATTTTGTTTTATTTGTTTTTTTTATCATTTTGCGAATCAAAGTTGATCTTTCATTTAGTTACTTTAAATTTGGCTAACAAACTTTTCCCTGGATTGTTGATGCATTTGCCTTGAACCCCTATTATGGAGGCCATACACGTTAGGGTTTGCATGATGGTTTTAGCCTTACATGCATAACCGACGGGCAAGCCCTAGCGTGTATGTGATAAAACTGTACAGTTATCGGTGCATGTACATGCAACCGAGCAAATATGAAAATTCATATTTTATGCCGCTCGGTTTTGCTTGCCTGCGAGCATGCCCTAGCGTGTGTGGCGTCCGGCGAGCTTGCTTGCCATAGTTCTCATAGCATCATATGTTTCATGAATTATTCAGCCCAAAGCCTGAAGTGATATAATAGCAGAATATTTGAGACACTCGTATATTCTTCCTGTTTCAAGAAATGTTACTGCTAGTCTCTCATGTGCTGATATTGCTTTCCTCATTACAGTATTTTGCCTTTGTATTAACGGAGTGAATCAATGATAATAGTTCCAAATTAAGTTTTTCATCCATTCGTAAATCATTTTTGTAATCTGTTGGTTTAAATCTCAATTCATTTATCAAATTTACGTGGGAGAAATTATTTCTTTTTAATAACCAACGTTTAGACCATTCAGTGCGATCTCTCTTTTTTTCTTTTCTTTTCTGAAGAATAAGTGTTAAGCCAAGTACAGCTATCACATCGTTGTCGTCCATTGTAGTTTGGTAGGTATATACCCCACAAAGTACGAAGTGTGTCTTGTACAGTCCGTCACGTAGCTTAACAGACAAGTTGAAAAAAAAAAAAATGGCAAAACTGTGCATGCAAACCCTAACGTGTATGTGTAATATGGAACTCGGTTATACCTGTCGGTTATGCATGCAAGGTTAAAAGCATCATGCAAACCCTAACGTGTATGGCCTCCATTAGTTTCATCACGAACTTTTCTGCATATTTTTTTATTTTCATCTGTTTTATGTTGCAAATCCTTATAACATGGCTTTTTCTTTTTAATTACTGCATTTTTACTTGATTTCATTGTTGTAATCCTTTTTTGCTAGAAAAAGTTTCTTCTGTCATAATCTGCTTTTTCAATTTATTTATTACAAGTATCGATTGTTTATTATTTTTTTTTCAGAATTCAACATGAAAGTTTTATTTATCTTCGCCTTTATCGTAATTTTTGCTACAAGCGCCAAAACTGTACTTGGTGATTGCTTATCAGGCAGATTTGGAGGTCCATGTGCTGTGTGGGATAACGACAGTTGTCGTAGAGTATGCCAAGAAGAAGGAAGACCTAGTGGTCACTGCAGCCCTAGTTTGAAATGTTGGTGCGAGGGTTGTTAATATTTTAAATCAACGGGAACCTTCTTGTTTATTATCAACAACATTTATATATAAATAAAGTTACCACTAAAAATTTACATTTTTTTTTATTTACAAAAATATACTCGCATGAATCACTAACAATTATTAGCAGGGAACAAGCACAGGCACTAAGGTACATATTATGATATAATAATAGAAGAACAAGGGGAGATGACAAGATAAAAAGTAGGAAAAATTAATTACAGGATGAAGGAGTTAAGATGATAGAGAATAATGCGGAGGATGAGCGCCTGAAGATAAATGCGTAAACATAACAAGATAGAAGACAAACGCAAATAATCAGCTCTATCTAAGAGATAATTTGAAGATGTTGTAGAATAGGCCTTAAAGACAAGATTAAGGACGTCCTAGAGCAGATTGTCAATTTGAAGTTTGAACACAAGATACAAAAACGTCCAGAATGGACCTTTTAAAATTGGCAATATTCAGCGTCTATTAAAAATCAGTATTGATCGTATACATCCAACTAATTGGGAGAATAATGTTCTCCATGTATTGAAAATAGTAGGGATTATGTGAGAGTCAAATAATGAAAAATGTTATTGAAACTGTAGTAATAGGGGTCCTAGTTAACAAGACACAAAACTCAATGGATTCCCAGGATTCCGATGGGACACCACATCTGTGCGTTACACCATCATTCATTGAAGATGAATACTTTTTTTTTATTTTAATGTAGCAATTCTTGTTTTTGTTCAAAAATACTCCATTCTTTTTCAACACAAACAACAATTTAAATTATTTCCCAAGGGACAAACGGGAAAACGACTGAAAACAACTTTGTACGATA